GGGACGGTTAAATCTGTCAATGAGCAACATACAATTCTGACACACACTACCTGAAGCCTTTAGAGGGTGGAATACAGTTTAGTCCACTTCAAAAGTTTAAATGGCATGTGGAAATATGTAAAAGTTGAAGAAACGAATGGGTCAGACCTTATGAGTAGCTGAAAATCACTGTGTGCAACAGTGATGTAACTACCACATGCTCGTCTATAGAGGGGTAACTGCAAATACATCCCCCGTTATTTTAATCTTCATTACATTGTGTGCCTAACGGTTTACGATTGATACATGAAGCTGGGTCCAAGACGATGGCTGTGTGTTGACAATTGCATGTTGGAGGAAAGAAAAATGATCAGTCTTTAGTATTGAGGTTTATAGAATATATTCTATAAATACTTATGTTTATAGAAAAAAAAAAAGGGTTTTAGCTAAAATCAAAATTTACAAGTTCAAAGCAAAAGGAACAACGTGTATGCCTCCAGATTCTTGAAGAGTACTTGAAAACTGACCTCCAGCTCTTGGTGGCAGCAGCCAATGAGCTTTCCATTTCCACAGAGAGAAACGCACTAAACGCTGAAGGACCGCATGCCCGAATTAAAAAATGTACGCCACCTGGTTACTATGACAACATACAAACAATTCGCCTGAGTGAGCAACATTTGATATGGTTTCTTTATGAAAAGTCACAAAATTGACCCATATAGGGCTCAATTTAAGATAATCAGGGAGTCAAACTAACCCCTTGTTGGTTCTGGTATGAAAATTTCAGAAATTGCCTCTCAAACTGGCACTTCTCTGACTAGTTGCATAAGTCTGACTCCGGTCAGAACGTCTCTTTGCTTCTCTGGACCGAGATTATTCAGAGAGTTGTCTCTGCTGCACATAAAATGTTTAACCGGTCCGTTCCATCACAGGAGCACACCTCTGAGTCACTTTGAAAAGGAAACACTTAACTTTTACGTCAAAAAATAAACTGTAAAAGTCTGACCTAGAGCATCTGACAGCAAATTATCTTCAATTTTACCAAATAACCATCAAAGAAATGATAAAAGGAGATATAAATATCTGATTAATAAAGTAATTAGGTTAAAAAGAATCATAAAGCTTCCTTCCCTTCTTTATTGTGTCTAAACAGTCACAACCAAATTAGGGGAAATGCTTGAAAACAAAGAAAATGCCCCGCTATTCTTACTGAAATGATTTCTAATCCAACTTTAAGTTGGAGTCTGGAACAAACATTTAATTTCCTTTTGTGCAATTGCCTTATTATTTATACCCTTAAACGCTTGGCTGCATGAGTTGCTAATTTAAAAAGCACAAAACATGCTCCTTTAATTATTTAATATAAAAGATCCCTGGCTGTTAATTGCTTAATCAAAGCACAAATGTCTGCTCGAATCAGTTCCTCATATTTAAGATGTCATGCAAAAGCAGAGCGGTCTTAAGTGGTTACATCTGAAAAATGGCACACAAGTCTCAGTGCAAATTAATTAACATTAAATATATGTTGTTGTTTTTTAAGTGCCAGGAAGTCACTTGAGCGGCTTTTACTCAGTCTCTGCATGTCACATTTGACTATTTGTCACATTAGCAACCTATAAATTTACCTCAACTTAAATTAGACAGAATCCCTGCGAAGAAATTCTCGGTGGAAATGGTTCCTGCCATCCAGTTCATATTTCATATCACACCCACTGGCATTAATTGCATTCACATACCCAGACATTCCGATGGAAACTGCTTTTAATACAAATTACTTCAGACAGCGAGTAATAACTTTTCTCTCTTTCTCAACAGTTGCAGTCTCGCACATCTTTCATATTCAGGGCTCATGAGAATCCACCCACAGCCCTTTAATCAGAGCTCGTTTCTCCACATCTCTGCTTCACGCCTGTGTTTTTCCAAATGTCACTTGTCTTGACACCAGTTGAGGCTGCATATTGGATCAGATGCATCGCCAAAGAAATTATCTGCGAGATTTAATTCAGAACTTCATCAGCACAACTCCCTACCTAAAAAAAAAAAAAAAGACATATTGCAGTAGATAGAGTATCTTTGGTAACTAGATAAAATGACAAAAAAGGTCCATCAGCTTCCAAACTTTTTCTCTCCTTTTAAATGATTTTTTTCCAGGGTCTCTTTAAATTTAGATATACAGTAGAAAAGCATGCATCTCTCCAAATATCTTTTTTTCCTATTCACCCACAGTTCAGGCCCTGTAGTTTATATTGTTGTTCTATTTGTGCTCTGACCTTGCTCACCCCTTGTTCATCTCTTTTAAGCTACTTCTTGTGCCTGCTGATATTGTATTTGGGAAAGGTCCAGTCGGCATGATAGAGAGCTACTGCTACCGTTGTGCGGTTTTTGCCAAAAGATTTTTATTAAATTATATTAAATTATTTTGGTTGCCTGACTATCTTGGACTAAATGCTCAATGTTCTGTTCATAATCTGATAGTCCTGCAGAGTGGTTGTGGAATATTCAGCCAAACCACCTCAAGTATACAGCATTCTAAGATGAACACATTTTCATCAGTGCAGAAAGAGTGTTTGCATAGGACATCATGATGATTAAAAAAAAACAAAAACAAAACATTAACAGGTTGTTTCCGTTTTATTTGAGCATCACTTGTACAAGATTTGTTGCAGCGGTTTATGTATGCAAGTGGAGAATTCTCGCAGTAAGTAAACTAGAAAAGAACAGAATTAATCTGCTCTGTGAATATGTAAAACATCCTCTGACACAAAATGCCTTGCTTTGAAAAGCTTAAATATGCCCAGGAATTATTTCATGTTTGAAATTTTAAAGTTTGTTCACGCAATTTTCAGGTTAGGACCTATACGCATCAATGGATCTAGTTTTAATTTGTGTGAGCTTGACTTTAAATTAATTCTTGTGAAGTTTGAACTTCAAGCCTTCAAAGATCTCTTACATATGCAGAACTTTGGAAATGTGTTCACACTTTTATTTTTCCCCACGTTTTGTCGCGTTCTAGTCACACACTTTTACTGAGTTTTATGTGAGAAACAAAGACAAAGTGACGCATAACTGAGGAGAACTTTATATGGCTGTCAACATATTTTACAGATAGAAATCTGGCAAAAATATGTGGTCTGTAATTATTTAGCTCCCATTATTCAAATACCCTTAAAGACAAATTCCATGACAAAACACCTATTTGCAGAATATCCCACTCTTTAACCATTTCACGGGGCACAAGTACAATCCTACCAAGTCATGGTGAACCGCACAGGTTTTCAGGATGGGCAAGGAAAACATTAATCAGAGAGGCAGCCAAGAGACCCATGGTAACTGTAGAAGACCTGCTATGCAGGGTTCATTTCAGGTGGCACAATCTGTGGAGAGGACGACTATTAGTTGTACGCTCTACAAGTCTTGTTCTACTGAAAGAGTGAAGGAAAAAGGTTGTTGTAAGAAAGTTATATATAAAATCCAGTTTGCCAAAAAGCCCAAGTAGGAGAAACATCAATCATGGATGAAGGCACTCTGGTCGCCCACAAACAAAAGTGAACTGTTTGACCTAGATTCAAAATGCATTACACTTCTGATAGCATCACGCTGTGGATATGCTGCTGTATAGTTGTGTCAGGAAAACGGTAATCACCAGCAGCAAGTAACATTGTTGAACAAAAACTATTAGAGGATATACAAGCAACATATGACAAGTGCAGAGGTCAGCTATTTTGCAAGACAAAATCCACAAAACTGCAGCTGAGTCTACAGTAGAGCAAAGCATGGTCACGTGTTAGAATAGTCGAGTCAAAGTCCACACCAAAACCAGTCAAGAATCTACGTCAAAACTTGAAAAACTGGTGTTTTCAAGTAGATGAAAGAGTTCAAGTTCCGTCTTCTAATCTGACAGAGCTCGAGCGACTTTGCAGCAAAACGTGTTGCGAAAATATTATTCTTCAGATGAACAAAGCTGGACATACTGCAAAACTCTGGAAGTTGTAATTGCTGCAAAAAAAAAACAACAAAAAAAAAAGTCCTGGGTTAGTGCAAATTAACAAATGCATGCCACGCTTTTCAGATATTATTCGTTGAAAAATCTTGAGTGCTGCACTTTCTTCGATTGGGATGCGCCTCAAAATTCCAACAAAACAAAAGCACAATGAAGTGAGTGGCTGGCGGTGACAAAAATGCGAATCATAAACAGTCAACACGTTGTTTAATCTGAATAATTAACAGATTATATGGGATTATAAAAGCAAAAGGTAGCCTATTGTTAGAAAAACAAAACAGATCTTCATGTGAGCCAATTGAATAGTGATATCTATTCCATGCAACCAAAACAAACGAAAAGGGGTTTTTTAAAACCTATTTAGGTTTTATTTAGGTCTGTGAAATGTCTTATCTGAATGATTATGGCACAGTGAGGAGTCTGTCTTCCTGAAGGGAGGGATTGTTTCAAACAAAAGAGGTCACCAGCAGTGCAACGGCAGCCTTTCCTTCTTAACGACGCCTTAGAGTCAGAGCCTATCATTCCCCCTAATTATTGTTGATTGCATTCATTAAGTCATGTCCCGATATCTTGGAGGCGCTGTTGGTGGTTTAGACTAAATGGCAGCTAAGGGTTAGCTTGTTTCTCTGCGCTAATTGGACGTCAGGCCAACACAGAGAGAAGAAAGCGCAGCTCATCAGCAGACTGTCCATTGTCGGATGTAATTCCTCTAAGCTGGCAGACCCCTCGCAGAGCAGACTGAAGCCCAGGGTTGTGATACTCGCGAGGTGTCAAGCACCTCGCCACGGAAATCCCTCAAGCTCTGTTTTAATGAAATTAACAAGCCTATTAAAAAATCCATCGCGCTGACATCTGACACAGCAGTAGGCTATAAGTCTTAAATAAACTTTTCACCGAGTTGCTGGAAACTTAATAAAAGAAACAGACATTTTCTGTCTTTTATTTTTTTTTTTTTTGTATCCATTCTGTAAGAAATTGTGCTCTGGACAAGCTTCTTCGACTATTTTTATTTTTTTTTTTAAAAGCACTGAGATAAAAGAAACAGTAAATGCACTGAAGGCACCAAAGGGAAATATTTTCGTCTGTGGGATACATTTCCCCTGAAAAGAGAGAGAGGAAAGATTAGAAAAGCACTCTGGGAGCAATTCTAAATCTCACAGATCAGCAGTGAAGGGACAGCCAAGCTGGCAACAGAGATATGGAGGCACAATGGTGAATCACTCCCACGCCTTCCCCTGAACAATACAAGGAACTCAGAAATACCAGGGCACCTATGTGCTCACTGTATATCTGCCCAAGTTTATATATTCATAGACAAGCACCCCACAGGGATGCCGAGATTATTACCATCCTGTATGTGCTTTCACTTTTAGACATTTTATTATTTTTTTTTCATACTTCTGCTGGGCATAAAATGTCCTTCCGCACTAAACAACTCTAATACAAGTAAATTGGTATTTAAAAAGTGTAAATTTAGGTGAGCCAGCATCAGTCAACACGCAGTGCTTGCAAATCCACTTTCCGGAGGTGAAGTGGAGACATTAGACCCCCCCCACACCTTCCCCTGATTCACTCCCTCCCCAGTTTTTCCTCTGCCCTGGTTTTCCTCATCAGCTCCAATAAAATCTCCTCTCTGTCCTCTTAATGCAGCTTTTTGCTGGTGTCTGCACATAAAAGATCTCGGGGCTCTTCTCTGCATTACCGCGAGTGAAAAGCGAGAGAGAGGCTAAAGAGTGATCCCATTCCTCAGGAGCTTGCCGTGTGAAGACCCACGCAAAAACTTTTTTTATACGTGTGTGCACTTTCCCACTTTCAGAGTGTGCGGCTGTGGATCAGAAGGTAAACATTTTTTTTTTCTTTCCCCCTTAATACTCCCTCAGATGCTTTCCTGTTACATATATAAGAGTTCTTAAAGAGACTTAACCTATGATTATTTTTGAAGTTTGAAGCCTAAAAGGAGAAATGTCAACTATAAACAACTACTTTTGTGCATATGCACATTAATTATAGTTGATATCATATCTAAATGGGTCACCTTTTTTACCATTTGTCCATCTGTATAAGTGCTTGGACAATGGAACAAGTGGAACTACTTCCCCATTTTCAAAAAGACGGGCTGCGAACGTACATTTTTTGACAGTGTGACAATTGCATAAAAATACATATATTCTTGGTTTAGTTTTTAAACTAGCAGAGTAAAAATAAAAAAGTGAGACGACCACTCAAGTTTAGTCCCACCCCCCTTCCACCTCCAAGTCAGTCAAGTCAAACTCAGCCGATCTGAATATAAAAGTCACATTCTGAAAGACGAACTGCATTCTTGGTGCAATATGCACCCTCTGGTGCGCACATTGAAAAAATGCAGGTGAGGGGTTTTCTTTACAGAGCACAGTGCATGTTAAGTGTGTCATTCTGTACAATATTTTGTGTGCATGTCTCGTATCACAGAGTCCTAGATTCTCTACAATCTAGAGAACCTAGATTCTCCAGAATCTAGGTTGATGCCAATCTGAGCACATCCACAGTGGTTGGGCAGGACTCAGTTATTTACTATAAATCGGCACATTAGCCAGATCCGTTCTGGCTGCAACTACAACAATCGAAACGAGAAAGCACCACAAGCAATCCACGCAAACTTAGATCTTTAACCCCAATAATGTAACCCTAACAAACAGAAAACTTGGTCATAAAATTAAGTATGCGCTGAATATGGCTTTCACACACACACACACACCTCCAAGTTGCACATAACAGCTGGTCGCTAAAGCAAAACCCAACAAAAAAATAAATGAGTCATTAAAACTGATGGCAGTGATTCTACAGCTTAAATTAACAAAACCTGGACGAAGAGTTGTATAAAATCTATGCAAGACAAGTATATGCCCTTGTCACAATGAACAAAAGATGCTTGAGAAGCTTATGTAGCTAGTTCTATTACTAAATAAACTATTTTCTAACACCAAGCTTGGCCCTTTACAAAACAGCCAACCAGATGGCAAAAGAGCTGCACAAAATCCTTCAAAAGCAGACAATTAACAAAACGGGCATACAGAATAAATCAAAGTTAGGGATCTGAAGTAAAATGTCACAGTGCGACTGCGTAATGAAAGCCTTCGTGAGTGAAAAGTTCTTAGGCTTGGATTTTAAAATGCCCTGAGGTCTTTTATTGAGTGTAAATCCAGAGGAAGCCGGTTCCACAGTCTGTAGGCCGTGACCACGAAAAGAATATTATTCAAATTTGCATTTAAAATGGGTCAAACTGGTTTAATGGTCACGGCAGTAAATTAAATTGGTAAATTAATACTCATAGTATTATGCGATAGTTAATACAGTTTGATGCAGAAAGTAAAAACATCTGCTTCCCCCACAATGGTAAGTTAAAGAACTAAACAACTTCAGCTTTTATGGGCTGCTCAGACTTCCTTGATTTGTTTCTTATCCTTATTAGCTTATTTATTTACATAACGTTAAACAAGTAAATGTCAAATCTTAAAGAAAAAAACAAAAACAATCATTAGCTCATCATATTTACTTTATATAAAAGAGCTATATTAAAAAAAAAATACATGTGGTGAATTACAGTGAAACGATTGAAGACTGAAAGACTCTCACACGAGAACATATAAATTGTTCAATCTACCAGGCAACATCCAATAGAGTCAATTAAAAACGACAAAAAAAAAAAATCAAGCTCTCTTTAAAGCTTTAGGATGAAAAGAAGAAACCATTGAATAACTTTTTGGTTTGTTCTCCCTTCTCTTGGCGAGAAAACACTTTCCAAAACTGAGGACGCCGATATACGAGTCGACATTTTAAGGGAAACGCCATCACTGTGTGAATGGCGGCTGTCGAATCTAAAATCAAACCCATCTCCGTTCGGCTCGCTGAAAGGTTAGAAAACAGTTGGGTATTAGCCTCAGGTGCATAGTTTGATATCCTGTCAGAACCAAGCTGCCTCTCGCCTCAAAAGAAGAATTACTTCCATTGTAAGAAAGTCTAAATCTGACAGTAAATGTAGCTATTATTTATAGGAGAAATGTGAAGGGATGTCTTTCATCTGACATGGCTCGTCTTTCATAATAACAATGTTTATTTTTGGAATTTCCATTTTATGACTGTGGAAATGTCAAAGCAGGAACTTTTTTTTTTTTTTTTTGGTTACAATACAGCCAGAGGATGAGAAAAACACTTGAATTTCAAGGCCCGTGCAATTACTTCCTTAGCGCTAAACACGGCCATTAACGTTCCACTTCAGCGAGGCCATTTTCTCACGTGGAGAGGCTGCCGTCAGTCACCAACAACCAACAGATTTGTAAATGAACTGGGGGGGGGGGGGGGCATACAAAAAAAAACCCACTTTTTTTTTTTAGGGGCCCCCTTTTTTTAAAA